AAGGAATAGCCGGGTATTTTAGGAACTTGGTAAGTTTCTTCACGACCTTAGCTCCGGCGTTTCTTATTATCGATCGATCGTACGTGAATTATTGATTGACTGTCACGTTTTTCAGAAAACGGTTCCAGCAAAAGCGGTGTTTTGTGTGGCTAACATTTGTATACTAATGTGTATACCATTTCGTATTCTTAAACTTCATGAACTTGAAGAGGCACTTTTTGTGTTCGCCTTGCCTGGTTCATGGATATTTCTGCTATTTTTTGCAAGGTACTTTCTATATTTCTCTTGATTAGGTCAAATTTTGCCAGTTTAGCTGCATCGGTCGCTTGTACTTTTGGGAGCGCATGCAATTCAGTGTCTTTATCTTCCCTCATAGTACCGGTTAGTCAACTCTAGTGGAATGGCGGCTTGAAGGCTGTGAACACGATAGCCGAGGGGCGGATCGGTTTTGATGACGTCATTGGTGGGTTGGACGCCTCAGCAAGCGGCGTGATTCACTTCGTAACGTCCTTCCATCAATCACGCTCAATGACATCACTAAAATTGCTCCACCCTCAAGCCATCGTCACTGCCTTTAGATCTTCGCATGGGTCAAAGCACTCAACTATCCTTACGAATCTGACCGGAAGCGGAAAGCATAGCGCATTTCAAAAGGGTTTAATTTATGTCGGAAGCTTTACCCTTTCCACCGCTCAACAAACTGAAAACCCCTATTTGCGTTACTTACTAGAAAAGCCTCTATACGGGTCCTGTTATCCTTCGATCGACATACCCTCTATTCCAGAAGTGCCAAACTCACCGGACCTTTCGTACAAATGATCTATAGTATGATTGCCGGTGATATGATGCGATTCGCTATTATTTCTGCCATCTTCCTTATATCCTTTTCACAAGGTGAGTAATCGATTGTTTTTGTAATCGATTTTTCTTTTTTAGTATTTTTTCTAGAAGCTTTCGAAGATTAAAGTGCTCTGCCTATAAAGGCAAATACATCATTGTAAAGAACTGAACTGTCTTACCAAATGTCGCCGTTCTGGCAGCAAAATAGCCGCCAACATTTGCCATCTACACGAACTGCCTACCGTGACAAAACTAAAACCTACAGTAATATTTCAGTGTTCTACTTTGTCGGTAAGGATATGGACGCCAAGCAACAACTCAACACCTCGAATCCATATCACTGTCCAGTGGAAGGCTACGACATCTACACATACGACAACTTTATCGAGACTTTCATCACGTTGTTCAGAGCCAGTATGGGCGGATACGATGTACGTGAACAAAATCTTCTTCTTAAGGGGGGGGGGGGTGGGCAGAAATGCAAATTCAGAGCGCTTAGTCACTTTTAGCTGAGTTCGCAGGTGTCCTTGTTCCATTCCTTCGACGACGAGTTGGAGGCATCGTGCATTTCACCACAACTCGATACCTTAAGCCTCCTGCGTTACAAGAATGAATCATCCTGATACTATGGGCTGGATCTTGATTAGATTATGTATAGTTGGACTTTTTAAGGTAAAACTGTTGGAACTATAAGAGCTGTTTCCGCTCGTTTTTGTTCGATAGGCCGTCTAGCGCCGCCCCTACTACCAGCACCTGTACAAAAGATGAGCTTCCGCAGCAGCTGTCCCTCTTGACTTTCATATTTTTTGGCGCGGAATCTCTCGTAAAGTTACCCATGACGGCACGCATTAATTTTGCACGGGGAGGAAGAAATCGCTTTCCCGTGCAGGATGTCTTCGAAGTTCCGCAGCAGAACTGTGGAGAACTTGTGGTGGATGGGAAAGAAATAACATAGAACATGATGGCGAACATATGCTCGGGAAATCAGTTAAGTCTGTATTTTAATGAAAATAAAGGGTTCGGGAATCCAGAATTTCTACCTTCGGTGATTGACTTAAGAGAATGTGCTGAACTTACAACCACTTCCATTTTTTTGCGAAAAAAGAACACATGGCGCATACTTGCCCGCTTCTAATATGGTCAAATTACTGAGCAGAGGGGAATTTGAGCTTGTTCAAAATTAAGTAAAAAAAAGTTCATATAACCACCATGTTCACATAGCGTCTTCAAGGTGCCAATCGATTTATTGAGGAATAACTTGAAATTCTATTAAAATTATTTGATCCAAATTTTCAGTACGAAGAGTTCGCATGCGCCAACTACGAGGTGCTGACAAAGACGTTGTTTGTGTTGTACATGTTTGTAATGCCGATTATGATGATCAACATCCTTATTGCCATGATGGGTAACACCTATACCACTGTGATCGCTCAAGCCGAGAAAGCCTGGCGGCAGCAGGTACGCCACTCTTCTTCCCTTTCTCTTTCGTTCCTAAGTCCTTTTGTTTTTGAGTTCCTAAGTTGATCTTTGAAAGGCCTTGTAGTGCTAACAGACCGATCCTGTTGGCTACCCAACAGCACGCCCGCCGCGCGGCGAGAAGGCAGAGACGCAGACGGAGCGGACGAGTCACAGCGTGTACTGTAGTAAATTAGTGTCAAGTTGAAAAATTTGCGGTGGCATGTCCTAGATAGCACGAAACGCCCTAATACTCGTCCGCTGACCAGTCTGCGTCTCTGCCTTCTCCCCGCGCGAAGGGCCTCCTGCTTGGTGTCCGATCCCATCAGGTATTAAGACATATAACATATGCAGTAAGAAGTATTTGAAAATACCAACATCGATTTAGCGCAATCAAATCGCGTCTTAGCCTATATATCACGTGACTTGTTTGTGTTTTTCCACCTCAGTTATCATAATTTGTTTCAGTACGCCCAAATTGTGATGGTCCTGGAACGATCGGTAGGACCTGAGAAATTGGCAGCCAGTCAGCTGGAATACAGTATCAAATTGAACGATACGAACGACGCTGCGCTAGAAGTGCGCGGTTTGATGGTTATCAAACAGACGAAGAAAACGCGAGCAAAACAGCGGAAGCAAGCGATCCATCATTGGAAAACCATCGGCCGAAAGGTACGGTAATTTCAATGGATGAGGTAAAAAATGAACTGAAGAAGTCCTTATCAGGTTATTCATACGATTGCCAAAGTCGGAAAGGAGCATGCGATTCATCTGCTACATGGTCACGATCGACTTGATCCGATCATTGAAGATGAAAAGGTCTGGTAGAGCTTTCAAATCGATTTAATTAGATTCACAGGTCAAAATACGGCTCAATTCGTAGCTAACTTCCACTATTATTTATTCAATTAATTATTTATTGAATGTGCTCTGAAGGCGCGCTACAATGAAAAGCTAGAGCCACAGGTTTTACGAAACCAGTCTGGAATAAAATTAGCAAAAAAAAAAGCGAAAAAAAGAAAAACACCGGCCAAAATCGGAAAAGAAAAATCAATTTTGGGAGTACTCAATTTTCTGTCTGAAAGCTATAGAATAAGCTTTAAAGGAGAGAGATCGTCAAAGCAGTTACATCAAGCTGGGCTTGCCTAGAAGAAACAAAAAAAAACATTCGAATTTTCCAACAACGGGTGGAGAAAATAGATTTCAATATATCGAATAATAATGAAAAATAGATATTATCCATTTCTTTATGTTACTTTTATTAATTTTTTAAGCCATATACTATACTTTCGATTTTCTTGTTTTTTATTAGTGATACTTTTCCCCATGTTTCAGTCTCAAATGTGGAACAGAACACCGACACGTATGCTCACTAGAAGTAGGCCGAGAAGTATTGCCTCCAACTGCGAGGTGAGACCTACGGTTCTATTCGTATTTCCACTTTTTCCATTCTCACTCATATTTTTGAGGACTTTCTAGTCGTTTTTAAGTTTTTGATGTTGTAGAATTTTATTTACAAGGCTGATAGGCAGGTGGTCAGACTAACCGCGCGCATGTCTCGTTCTTGCGCGTTGCGGATGCGGCACGATTACTCGGCGTTTGAGCGCTTTTTCAAAGATTTCGACTTTCAGATACGAACGACAGATCCTGCGCCACATGAGCTACCTTCTCGTGCTCCATCACGTGTTCAGAGGTACCTCATTACCTGTGAGTCCTCACGAATTGCACCCCACTTCCACTGCTTTAGACTTTCATAGCCCTTGTTCATGGATAATTAGTGGTAAGATGATGATCCGGTATACGATTTGGCGCGAGCTAGGGAAGCAAGCAGAGTGCTCGCATTTTTGTGGGACTTCCTGTTCTACCTGGAGGTTTTGTCCCACAAGGTCTCTTCTTTTATCATTTAAATTAGATTTAGTTTAAAGTTGGTGTGAATCAGGGCTAGAACAGTTTTCCATGCTGTTTTGATGAATTGTAATAGATCACGGTGCGCGAATCGGTGTGTCTGCGGGGCCGACACTCGACCTTTAGCCGAGCCTGCCAAAATCGGCCCCCGCTGCTGAGGCACCCGTTTCAGGGAGGAGCGGCCCACTTCCGGGGGACAAAGGGGGCGCCCGTCGGTAGGTCAACCTTGCCGGTCGCCGCGGCGCTTAACTACGAACCATCCTATTTGACCCTGATGCCGCACAACAACCAGATATAATTAGGGTAAACCCACATAGAATACATAGAGAACACAATTATATTTACTAACATTTATTATGACGTAATAACTCACCATACTCCTCGAACTCCCGGGGTCACCTCTCTCAGAGGTGAGCCCCACCAGCTGACTCGACGTATTAGACCCCCACGTTGGCTCGGCTTCTTCTGGGGGCTCCATGCGGCCGACGTGTCCTATCTGGGATGTTGTAAGGGCTGCTCCCAGACGGGGAGCAGGGGAAGGACACGACCGGCTTTGGGATGACAGGCGCTCCGCCAACATGGACTACGGAGCGACGTGCCCCTTCGCCTTAGCTGGCCTCATCGCGTTGCCCGGTGAACACCGACCTGCCACCGGTGGCCAGCTCCTACGAGCACCGCCGCTAGGACGGCGCGCGTAGCGCCGACTAACTGGCCTCGACCGCAGGGAGGCGTGGCCAATGGCGCAGATGCGCGCGTTGGCATCCGAGCGCAAGTGGGTCGGGGCGCGCGGTGCGGCCAGCGGGCCACCGTCGCATCCGCGACAGGTTGGATCAGTGGATTTTGGGCTGTAGATACGCAGTAATTTGCGACAAAC